AAAAAGGGACTAATTGGGAACAGGTTGAAGTATTCCCAACACCATAGCTGTTCCAGGAAGCTCTTGTTCCAGCCTGTGCCTCTTCAACCTGGCCATTCCCCGGACTCAGGCCTTAGAGCACCATCCGGCAGGATGTAAACTTACCAGTGGCTATTGAACTAAGTATTGTTAGGGCATGGGCTGGGCTCCTTTTCTCCAGAAGTCAGGGTGGTAGGTCTGCTAGTTAGGGACTGAAAAGATCTTACCATTAGATAACAGACCGTAAGCTATAATACTTGGCAACATTGGCATCTGACAACACCTTCACTTAGCAACAATCTCCTAGCACCAACACCTCAACAGCTCTACCTGACAATCCTGCCTAGAAGCATTCCGGTCTGCTAAAAATACCACCTTGAGTCCCTGACATAAAGCTAGTCCCTAGCCATTCATACCAAATTTTCTCCCTTCTGACTTAAGTGGTCTTACTTGGTGAGGTTTTGCTCAGCATACTAATGATGATAATGATAATAATAAACAACACTTTTAAGTGCTTTCTATATGGCAAGTACTGCTCTAGGCACCCCACGTAATCCTCGTGACAACCCTCTGAGATAGATACAATTATTATCCCCACTTGGCAGGTGGGGAAAGTGAGGATCAAAGAGATTCACTAATTTGCCCAAGAGTAAACTGTAATGGTAGGATAGGCTATGAAGCCCGGTAATCTGTCTTCTGGGATCTTTGCACTTACCTCTGCTGCTCTGTTTCCCAGGAAGCTCAGGGGACCTGGGGAATTCCCCCAAAGGCCTTCAAGGGAGTGTTCTGGGACATTGAAGAAGCCCTCAAGGCTGGGCATGGTGCCCTGTGAGGGCACAGATAGTTGCAGAGCAACCAGGGGAGCACTGACGTTCATTTGCCTTAGGTCATGAGGCTGGGCTAGATCCAGAAAGGGTTAAGGATGGCCATGAGGGTGTTCCCACCACAGAGCAGGGAGCTGTTGGTCTGTTCCTCAGGGAGAAGCCCTTGTCCGCACTGCTATCCTAGGTAGAACATTGCTATGAAAAATGGGCCCAGGTCTCTGCTCCAGGCTCCTGAGGGTAATAGGGCTGGAGAGGTTACCTTCTGTCCATTGTGGACTGGAGCCTCACCAAAGCCCCTTGGGCTCCAGACCTGGTGGTGTGGGGGTATGAGGGTAGGAGGGAGAATGGCAAGAGGCCCAATGGAGACTGTATTCGTCTGGAGGACAACATCTCTAAGTGACAAATTCATTGACAGAAAAAGATGCTGATTCTGGGGTTATAAAATTAGTTCCTGCTTCCCCTCTCTTAGTTTCAGGTTCATCATGGTAAATAGGGGTAACAACTACCCCCTTCAGTGGTGTTGTGAGGAGTAAATGAGATTGTGTAAATGGCAGGTGCTTTCCTCGTGCTTGCCCAGCACACAGTGGGTGTTCAATAATTGGGAGCTGTTGGATTAGCAGTTAATGGTAAATGAGTGTCTGTAGTGATGTGTTATGGGGCTCTTTCCAGACCAACAGTATGCATGGTGGAGTTGAAGTCCCAAGGAACAGCCTAGATCTAAACGTAGAGAGGGAGAGCCCTGGCTGGTGTGGCTCAGTTGGTTGAGTGTTGTCCCATGCAACGAGAGGTCACTGGTTGGATACCCAGTCACGGCACATGCCTGGGTTTCGGGCTCCATCCCCAGTAGGGAGCATGCAGGAAGCCGCTCAATGTTTCTCTCTCTCCCTCTCTTTTCCTCTCTCTCTAAAATCAATAAAAACATTTTAAAAACTAAACTTAAAGAGGGAGAGAAAACAGGGGGCAATAGAACTGACATTCAAAACAATTTTGGTGCCCTAGCTGGTTTGGCTCAGTGGATAGAGTGTTGACCTGTGGACTGAAGGGTCCCAGGTTCAGTTCTGGCCAAGGACATATGCCCACAGTAGGGGGCCTGCGAAGGCAGCTAATCAATGATTCTCTCTCATCATTGATGTTTCTGTCTGTCTCTCCCTCTCTGAAATCAATAAATTAAAAAAAATTTGGTGAAAACACAATACAATATACAGATGATGTATTATAGACTTGTACACCTGATATCTATATAATTGTATTAAACAATGTCACCTCAATAAATTCAATAAAAATGAAAAATGGGGTTTTATCTTTAAAAAACCATATAGACAAAAATTAACAACAACAAAAAAAACCCACAAAATTTTGACAAGCTGGAATAAGCAAGATGACATTGTCCTTCTGTAGCTTCAAGTCTTTGCACAAAGCAGAGGCAGGGGAAGAGACCTCACTTGACCCCAGCTCCAGTGAAAAGGATCTGAATGATTTAGTTGACCACAACCTGATGGGAACTAATCATGGGAGAGAAAGACTCGGGAGCCCAGCAGCCTTAGGCTGCATTAACAATGTGTCGAGTCCAGACTAGGGGAAATAATGGGCCTATTGTGTTGGCTTGGTCAGGCCATATCTGGAATCTTGCATTGCTACACTGACAGACTGGAATCGGGCCAGGACTGGGACCAGCTCAGCCTCAGCTCCCAAGCACTTGTGCTAAGCACTTCCTGTGCATTTTCTTGTTTCACACCAAAATAACCCTTTAAGATGGTCACTCTTTAAAAAAAAATCTTTATTGATTTCAGAGAGAGATAGAAACATCAATGATGAAAGAAAATCATTGATCGACTGCCTCCTGCAAGATCGGGAATTGAGCCTGCAATTGGGGCATAAGCCCTGATCATGGGATCGAACTGTGATCTTCTGGTTCATAGGTCAATGCTCAACCAACTGGGCCAGATAGTCTCTCTTTTTGTTGTTGTTGTTAATTCTCACCCGGGGATATTTTTCCATTGATCTTTTAGAGAGAGTGGAAGAGAGAGGAAAAGACAGAGGGAAACATTGATGTGAGAGAAACACATTGATTGGTTGCCTCCAGCACACACCCTGACCAGTGCCTGGACTGGGGATGAGCCTGCAACCAAGGTACGTGCCTTTGACTGGAATCAAACCCAGAACCCTTTGGTCAGCAGGCTATCCACTGAGCCAAACCGGCTTGGGCCAAACAGTCACTTTTAATGTCCCTACTTTATACATACGAAGGTTAACTGGGTTGCCTAGAATCAATCACACAGCTAGTAAAAAAGCCTGGGGCTTTTCCGAATGGGCCTCTCTTGTACTTGTACCTGGGGAAGGCTGAACATATGTTTATTTTATTTTATTTTATTTTATTTTATTTTATTTTATTTTATTTTACATACTAGAGGCCCGATGCACAAAATTCGTGCAAGAGTAGGCCTTCCTTCCCCTGGCTGCTGGCACCGGCTTCCCTCTGGCACCCGGGACCCGGGCTTCCCTTGCAGCCCTTGTTTCATCTGGAAGGTCATCCGGAAGGATGTCCAGTCTAATTAGCATATTACACTTTTATTATTATAGCTATTTTTATTGATTTCAGAGGGGAAGGCAGAGGGAGAGAGAGAGAAGCATCAATGATGAGAGGGAATCATTGATTGACTGTCTCCTGCATGCCTGCTACTGGGGATGGAACTCGAAACCGTGCCCTGACTAGAATTGAACCATGACCTGGTTCTTAGGTCGAAGCTCAACCATTGAGCCACACCAGCCGGGCACCACCAGCCTCTTGAGTGTCTGCCTGGGATGATGTTGGCACAACTGACCAAGAGGTGTCAGAAAGACTGTTATTGGCATCTATGTGTGATCTCTGTTCTAGACTAATGTCCTCTCATTTTCTTTCAAGGACCAGGTTGATTACTCAGTACTCTCTTTTCAAACCTTTCTTGAATTGTTTCAACCCAGAGTGCCATTGTAGCTTTGTATCTCCCAGGGCTTCTCCTTGGGGAGACACATGCGGTCTTCCAGTGATGTTTGCCAGAGGGACGGAGCAGGGCTGGAAAGAGGGAAGGCTTTGGGATGGGACAAAATCTTTCCAGCCTGGCTCCCCCACATGTGTGTCTCCCTTTCTTCAACTGTAAAATGGAGATAATAATAGTACCACCCTCATTTGGCGGCTGTGAGGGCTGAATGACATCATGGTGAGCATCTAGGAAGCTCTCCATAAAAGGCTGCTCTTATCATCAACGTGTAGTAGTGTAGTAGCGGCTGTGGTCCCGGCTCCTCTCCACAACTTGGGAGTTTGGTGACCGCAGGGGAGCGTTGCCTCGTCTTTCTCCCCCATCTCTGAGGGCCCCAAAGATGCCAATGGCAGGAAGAGGAAATGGGGAATGAAAGAGGGGAAATGCCAGTGCCACATCCTCCAGGTTTGGAGGAGAGGGAGACTCAAGCGATTCCAGATTTTAAAGGGGGTTCTGAAAAAACTATAAAGAGGCTTCTGAGTGCCTACCTTTCTCAGACTTGGGGTCATGGAGTGCAGGCTGAACTCGGGGAGAGCTTATTCTGGGAGACCACGGGCACGCTCAGCCTCAGGCTTCAGTTTCTGGTGAGGTCAGGTGGCTCTCCCCGCCTTCACCCGGTAGCGAGGTTCGGGCTTCAGAACGTGGCTCAAAGACTGAGAGCCTCAGGGGTGGTTGGGAAGGCGGGGGGCCGGCGGGCGAGCGGATTGGCTGGAGGCGGGGCAGCAGGGCTCCGGGATTGGCCGGGTGCGAGAGGGCGGGCCAACCTTTAAGAGGTGCGAGGGGGAGTGTAAGGGAGTGTGCACTCGCGTGTGCCACCGGCCTGCCGGCTTTACTCTTGCACGGCGACTGTGGTGGCGGCGGCGGTTACTACCCGAGCCCAGACAGAGCAGAGGCCGTGGAGCAGAAGGACATCCCGGCATCCCAATACCAGATGGCGTGGCCCGCCAGAAGAGCATCCCCGCGTCCCGATACCAGGCGGCGTGGCCCGCGGGTCATGGCCAAAGGAGAGGGCGCCGAGAGCGGCTCCGCCACGGGGCTGCTGCCTACAAGCATCCTCCAAGTTGGTGAACGCCCGGCCCAGGTGAAGGTGAGAACCTGGCATCCGGGCGGAGGGCCAGGGGCGGTGTGTGTGCGTGTGTGTGTGTGTGTGTGTGTGTGCGCGCGCGCGCGCGCAGCCTGATGGGGGCATCGAAGGATAAGCCTGGGTCTGGGATACATTGGGCCACCCGGGGACTGGCAGCCCCAGGGGCAGGAGTGAGCCTGGAGGGACCCTGGGGGCCGGGAGCGATGAAGTAGTTTGTAAACCCCAGCACCCCTTTTGCTCACCCTCCCTCCGCATCTCCACGGAGCGCGCCAGCCGACGGCTCCACGAGGCTCCCGGCTCTGCCTGGCTGCCTTTCATTCTTCTGTGACTTGCGGCTTAGAAGCCAAAAAGATTCCAAAAGCCAGAGAGACCCCAGAAGTCTGGGAAAGTCCTCTGGGTTCCCCATATCTACCCCCTACTCCCCACCCCCACATGCCTACGTTTTCGCCTCAACTCTGTGAGGGCCGCTCAAGTTCATTCATAAGAACAAGGACTCCGCTCTTAAAGGAGCCGCATTCCTGAGGCGTTTGTGTGAGTGTGGGTGCAGGGGCTCATCTCCTGCCTGCGCTTTGGGGGTCTTGACCTTGGGCACCACCCCCAGCTCTTCTCTGGATTTAATGAAGGACCGAATGCAATCGGGGAGGGATCCCAGGTCATAGATTTCTGCCTGGGAGGTGATTGCCTTTTACTTTTAGTTTTAACTGATCTTTGAAAGGAGCCCGGGCAAGCAATTAAGCTGCTGCCATGTGTGAGTAATCTCTACTTTTCCCTGGGCAACCTCAGCCTCCCTGGTGCCCCACCCAGAGAGAACCCAGCCCTGCACCCAGAGGCTTTCCCTCCCCTCTCCAAGGTCCCTAGGAGCTGAGGAAGGGCAGGGTAGCTCCTGGGTTTGCCTGAAGCTCTGGCTGCCCACAGGGGCCAGGGATGCGCTGGGACAGATGGAAGGAACAGCTGTGCCTGCAGTCAGCTGGGCTGGGCCCCTACAACTCTAGAGCCCTCGCCCAGTAGGCAGGTGGGTCCTGGCCTCCGAACCAGGGCAGGAGCTGGGGCTGGGCTTCGGCAGCTCTTGTCAGCAAGAGGATTTTCAGGTTGTGGCAGGTGGTGCTGGGTGGGGACAGGTCCGCTGCTGGAGCATGTTCCTCTTCCAACCTGGAAAGGAGCATGACTTCGGCCTTGGGGGGAGTTTTTTTAAAGATGGTGGTCTGATAAGAATCTGGGGGTGGGGTAGGTTGGGTGGCTTCAGGGAAACTTCTTCGGTATGGATTCCCCTTTTCCAGGTTCCTAAGAATAGAGAATACCTCTCTTTTCTTGTGGGAAGTGCTATCTAGCTGGGTGGGAATAAAGCAAGACAGATTTGTTCCTCCTGGCAGAATTGTCTGGAGGGATGGTCCTGTCTTTGGAATTTTCTAGGATGGGGACTAGGAAATTGGGTCTCCTTTTATGCTTTTCTCTTCTCCCAAAAGGAACCAAAGAAGAAACAACAGTTGTCCATTTGCAACAAGCTTTGCTATGCAGTTGGGGGGGCCCCCTACCAGATGACGGGCTGTGCCCTGGGGTTCTTCCTACAGATCTACCTGTTGGATGTGGCTCAGGTGAGTGGACTGAGCATGCCAGGGTTCCTGCAGCATCCAAGGTTTTCTCCATCTGTGAAATGGGACTGGGAATCCCTACTTTGCTGCCTGTCAGAGTCACACTGGATGAGAAATAAGGGTTTGGAAGTATCCAGAATGAGAGTCTATATGCCCCAGGAGTCATAGCTGGCAAAGTCAGGCAACTCCTCCTCGTCTGGCAAGAGCAACAGAGCCTGGAAGGGTAGGCGGTAGTATGAGGGAGAATGAAGCCTGTTGGTGACGCTGTTCTTAGAAGAGACTGGCACACCATGTCCCCAGCTGGACAGCAAGCAGTCAGCTGGCTTGGCTGTGGGGTTGGTAGATATTGCCAGGCATGTGGATGAGGTGCATCTCATTTTCACCTGAGGAGCAGAGGGATGTGGGGGGAGGGAGGGGAAGGCTCAAGTGCTGGACTGAGTTAGAGTGCCCCAGTACATAGGGTCTTTGATTGGGAGGGTATTTAAGGTGAAGCTGGGCTCCTCTGTACTCGAGAAGCTTTAGCCAGAAGCTTGGCATCCTGAGAATTCATCTTGTCTGAGAGAGTGGGAGGCTGCACAACCACGGATCTCAGGGCTCCCACACTGGCCATCTTTTTTATGTAGTATCGGACTTTGCAAGCAGGGCATCTTAGTTGTATGCATTTATATGTCGGGAACACTGAGCCCCAGACAGGACAAATGGCAGCATTCAACAGCTAGTTTTCAAGCAACTTTCATGGGTTGGGTCCTGAGTGGGGTGCAAATATGAGGAACCTGCAGCTAAAGTGTAAAACTGTTGTATGTTAAAGTTGGAAGTCTGATTAGGGAGACTGCCATGTGGGAGAGGCCAGAAGTTCCCCACCTTCCTGGAGCAATAGCAATAGTAGGGTCTTTTCTTTTTAAATATGTTTTTATTAATTTTAGAGAGAAAGGAAGGGAGAGGGAGAGAGAGAAACATCGATGTGAGAGTGTAACATTGGTCAGCTGCCTCCTGCACAAGATTGAGCCCACAATCTGGGCATGTGGTGTGACTGGAAATTGAACCAGCAACCTTCCAGTGCATGGGATAACACTCAACCAGCTGAGCCACACCGGCCGGGGCACAATAGTAGGGACTTGATGGGTGAGGGAGAGACCAAAGAAGCTGTCTATTCAGGCCTAGAAGATTTGGGGGAGAGCCCTAACTGGTTTGGCTCAGTGGATAGAGCGTCGGCCTGCGGACTGAAGGGTCCCAGGTTCTATTCTAGTCAAGGGCATGTACCTTGGTTGCGGACACATCCCCAGTAGGGGGTGTGCAGGAGGCAGCTGATCGATTTCTCTCTCATCCCTCCCCCTTCCTCTCTGTAAAAAATCAATAAAAAAAAAAAAGATTTGGGGGAGGGAATAGCTTGAGTGGGTAGTGATAGGCCACTTTTAAAAAGCATCTATAGGTTCCTTTTTCCACGTCCAAGATAGAGCTTGAGCCATAAGGTAGGGATCATAACTCCCATTATATAAATGGGGAAATTGAGATCTACCGTGGTCCTAACCAGCAAATGCTAACTCTAGTATCAGGTGGCTGGGGGATCAGGGTTGTGAAAGGGAGGCAAGGAAATCATTCTGGATTCAATCTAATTGATGGGAGTGTTTTCAAGGGCAGTGAAGCGGAGGATGTAAGGGAACAGATCTGGGAAAGTTTCTAAGGAGGCACACAGCTATCAGAATTGTTACTGTCATTATTAACAAGGCAAGTGAAGGTGCTTAAGGCCTGAGTGAGAGCAGCACAGTCTGCCAAGGGCCTGGCTGAGGAGGGGAGGGAGCCCCTGCTTTTGCCTACCAGTGAAAGCTGAGGTAGGTAGAAGGATGAAGGGGTCATTTTTTGCCTGTTCCCCATTCCAGGTGGACCCATTCTCTGCCTCTATCATCCTATTTGTGGGCCGAGCTTGGGATGCCTTCACAGACCCCCTGGTGGGCTTCTGCATAAGCAAATCTTCCTGGACCTGTCTGGGCCGTCTTATGCCCTGGTGAGTAGAAGAGGTTCCTTCAAGATGGCAGAAGGCAGGGCTTCAGCATGAATACTACCCTTCAGTTTTTCCACGTGCTTTGTCACAAGCTGAGGGGTGAGGAGAAGGAATGACGCAAAAACCCGAGTGTCGAAATGCTAGCTGAGGTCAGCTACCCCAGGCATGGGGCCTGGATGCCATGCCAAGTTTATCTCCAGGCTGGCCAAATTGTTAGATTGAGCAACTTCCCCCTGCCCAAACCCTATTGCTTCCCAAGTTCCATTCCCTTCAATGAAACTGGAATTCTAATTTTTCCCACTCAGTCACTTCCCATAGTAGGACAGGTAGTACTGCATAGTGGTTGAGAGGTTATACTCTGGAGCCAGCCTGACTCATTTTGAATACCAGCTTCACCACTTACAGCTGTGCAACCTTAGACAAATCACTTAACATCTCTGAGTCTCAAGTTTCTTCATCTGTAAAATGGGGACAATAATATGCCTATCCCATAGGGTTGTTGTAAGAATTTCAAATGTTTATTTTATTTTATTTATAAGTACTTAGAACAGTGCCTGGCACAGATTAAGTGATATCTAATTTGGCACGCCTTCAGAATGACTCCTAGTGGGGCAAGACCGAGAATGGGATATAAGACCCATAACCCCTTGGTACAAAACCTACAGTACTCAGCCTCTGGCTATCTGGCAAGGTAGGAGGGGTGCTACAGATCAGACAGCAAAGGAGGCACATGGGACAGGCGGACAGGCTGGAGCTCTGGTTCCCTCCAGGACATCCTGCTTGGTGGTGGTGGTGGTGTGGGGGGGATATTTCCTTTCATCTCCAGCCCATCCACGCTCAAGTGGGCGCCTTCCTGCCCCTGGGGTGCCCATACCTGGTCTCCGGCCTTCAGCCTTCAAAGCTCTTCCCACAGCCCCCGCCTCTCCCCCACAGCTTCCTTTCCCACGAGCCCCCTCCCACTACAATCCTGCCAGTCCCTGGCTAAGGCCCAGGCTGGGGCCTTTGATCCAAGACTTCAGGGCCAGAGGGCAGGACAGTCTGCCTTACCTGGGCAGCCTGCTCAGGGCTCCCTACCGCCTGGAGCCACACACCCATGAAGCTATTGTGCCCGCCTCCCTGGGAGCGAGGCGAGGCGGCGGGAGGCGGGGCTCCACTGCCACATCGCCTCATGAGGCCCAGCCAATGGGAGGCAGCCCCTCTCGCCAGCCCAATAGGCAGCAGTCCAGCCCGGGTTACTCCCAGTCACATTCAGTTCCTCATCTGCTGCTTGCGAGGAGAAGATGGAGTGTTTGACGAAAGCTGACGCCCTTGTTCCCTGAGAAGACACGTGGATCTGGGAGGGGAGGAGGAGGGCTGGGAGGGAGGACAGGGGAGGCCCTGGGCAGGTGTGGCAGCAGCTTGGTGAAGTTGCTGAGGCCCTTCAGGCTGGTTTCTGTTTTGGGACATGTCCTCACCTGTGTGGGTGATACACCCTTGTCTGAGGGCACACGGACCACTCATGGGCTGAAGGGCTGCCTTGTAGTATTGTGACCTTCTCCCCGTCCATGCCACAGTTAGCACCTAGGACCTGACACCCCTTCCGTCAGTATAGGAAGAGGCTGGGCCTTTCTGAGTTTGTGAGCCACGTGGCCCATTCTCCTCCCAGGCTTTAGACCAGATCTGCCCTCAGCCACCATTTAAATCCCCCTTTCAGACCAGGAAGACTTTGACAGATAGTTTCCCGGGGGTTCCCAAGGCTGCCCCATGAGAGGCAGGGTGTCAGCAGGATCACATGGGGAGGCCGAGATACAGCAGGGCTGGACCTGAGGCCTGACTCCGGGCCCAGTGCCCTCCACAGCTCCCTGGCCGTACTCTTCCCTTTTAGTTTTCCTGGTGTGATAATCACAGCAAACACTTACTGTATCCCAAGCTCTAGTCTACATTTTAATACCAACTTATTTAAGTCTCAAAATGACTTCAACCCTAGGATATAGAACCAAGGTCCTTACCTGGCTTGTAAACCCCCATATGACCTGGTGTACCATTTCCTCTCTAACCTTACCTCCTAATTGCGTGGTGCATGCTCACTCCACTCCAGCCTCACTGGCCTCCTTGCTATTCCTCATACCTGCCCGGCACAATTCCCGCCTGAGGATGTTTGCACTAACTGTTCCCCTTGCCTGACACACTCTTGCCTCACACATCTGCAAGGCCAACTCCCTCCTCTCATTCAAGTCTTGGCACAAATGTCACCTTCTCAAAGAAGGCTACCTTGTCTACTCAGTTGTGAATTGCACCCCCATACTCCTAATTCCCGTTTAGCCTGCTTTATTTAACCCATAGCAATTAATCACATTTTATTTATTATTTTTTAAAATTTCTACCCAAGGATATTTTTCCATTGATTTTTAGGGAGAATAGAAGAGAGAGGGAAAGACAGAGAGAAACATCGATGTGAGAGAAACACATCCATTGGTTGCCTCCTGCACGAGCCCCAACCAGGGCCCAGGCCGGGTAGGAGCCTGCAACCAAGGTACGTGCCCTTGACCAGGACCCTTCGGTCTGCAGGCCGACGCTCTATCCACTGAGCCAAACCAGCTAGGGCTTAATCAACTTTTAATATGTTTATATGACTTTTTTGTGGTAAAATATACATACCAAAATTGACCATTTTAATTTTGTTGTTGTTAATCCTCATTTCCCCCCCCATTTATTTATTTATTTTTAATTTTTTTTTTCTCCACTGATTTTTAGAGAGTGTGGAAGGAGTGGGAGAGACAGAGAGAAAGAAAAGAAACATTGATGTGAGAAAGAGACATCAATCGGTTGCTTCCCTCACACGCCCCGACTGAGGGCCTCCGAGATGGAGCCTGCAACCAAGGTGCATGCCCTTGGCCAGAATCAAACCTCCGACCCGTTAGTCTGCGGGCCGATGCTCTAACCACTGAGAAAACTAGCTAGGGTTTAACCATTTTTAAGTGTGCAATTTAGTGGCATTGAGTATACTCTCATTGTTATGTGACTTACTAACCATCCATCCAAGCTGAAACTCTATACCATTAAACAGTAACTCCCTATTCCTCCTCTCCCTAACCCCTGGCAACTACCATTCTTTTTATCTCTGTGAATTTGACTACTCTAGTTATGTCATATAAGTAGAATCACACAGCATTTGTCCTTTCGTGTCTGGCTTATTTCGGTTAACATAATGTCTTCAAGGTTCACCTGTGTTGTAGCATGTGTCAGAATTTTATTCCTTCTTAAGGCTGTATAATATACATATTAGATGTGTATAATATATATCCTCCCCTCCCTCAGGATCATCTTCTCCACACCCCTGGCCATCATTGCCTACTTCCTCATATGGTTCGTGCCTGACTTCCCACAGGGCCAGATCCTATGGTACCTGCTTTTCTATTGCCTCTTTGAGACACTAGTCACGGTGAGTGTGGGCACCTCCCCTGGATGTGAGGGCAGTCCCCTGGGGCCTCTGGGGTTGGTGCCCAAAGCCACATCTGTTTGTCCATCGTCTGACTGGCCGAGGGCCTCTCTTCCATGCCAGTGTTTCCACGTTCCCTACTCAGCTCTCACCATGTTCATCAGCACAGAACAGAGTGAGCGGGATTCGGCCACTGCTTACCGTAAGTCTCTCCCTAACGCACTGATCCCACCTACTAGGAACCCTGGGTCCCCCATTCCTTGACCCTCCTGCCACATTTCTTCCCTTGCTGGGAATGAATATGAAACCGTCTTAAAAATAACTCAATCCCCTTATGGCTCTGGTGAGACCAGACGCTAGTCTAGACCAGAGGCAGGGACTAGTCAGAGGTCACACAGAGCAAGGATATGAGTTTAGTGATTCTCAACCTTCCTAATGCCGCGACCCTTTAATACAGTTCCTCATGTTGTGGTGACCCCCAACCATAAAAGTATTTTCATTGCTACTTCATAACTGTAATTTTGCTATTGTTATGAATCGTAATGTAAACATCTGATATGCAGGATGTATTTTCATTGTTCGCGACCCACAGGTTGAGAACTGCTAGAACTTAGGCCAAGGTGCCATCTGTCCCACTACCCTATGGCCACCCTACTTGGAGCTGCTACCGTGATCTGGGGCTAGAATTCGGCTTCTACTCATCTGAACTTCCTCCCTTGGGGCCCACAACCCATGGGTCCCCTTCAAAGAACCTTCTCTTTATTGCTTAGGGATGACTGTGGAGGTACTGGGCACAGTGCTGGGCACAGCGATCCAAGGGCAAATCGTAGGCCAAGCAAATATGCCTTGTCTTGAGGACCTCAAAGATTCAGCAGTGGCCACGGAAGATGCCAATCATACACACAGCACCACCTCACTCAGAGAAACGGTGAGGCCCCTGTCAGGGCAGGGGTTTGGGGAGATGAGGAACAATGGGGTGGTTTGCAATCATCCTCAAAACAGTAATACTGTTGCTAAATGTTGGACATTTGATATGCAAACTATTAATATGGCCATGGCCACTTTGTAGATAAGGAAACTGAAGCATAGAGAGGCTAAATAATTTGCCTCTCTATGAGTGGTGATAGAGTTAGTGAGTTGCCGAAACTAGATTTGGGAGAGATTTGTCTGTGGGTTCTCAGACTCCATAGCCGGCTTCTTAAAATTTTGTTCTGCTGGACTTTTCCAGCAGAACAGCCTTGGGAAACAGCAATAGGCCGAGGATGACTTTTCCATTTCACAGATGAAGTCAGTGAGGCCTCAGAATAGAAGGACTGGTCCAAGGTCATTGAGTGGAGCTACTGAGTTGAGATGAGACCAGACTGACTGTCTCTCTATGTTGCCTTTATCCCCCTTTATAGAAAAATGCATACCTGCTGGCGGCAGGGGCCATAGCCTCCATCTATGTCATCTGTGCTGTCATCCTGGTCCTGGGCGTGAGGGAACAGAGAGGTGAGAAGCCGTGAGGGGGGTGGGGTGCAGGCCCTAGCACAGAATGGCTTTGTCACTCTGCCTGGGTCTCAGGCTTTGGAAGGAGCTTCTGCTCTCTTTCCTTACTGTTCCCTCTGGTCCCCAGAAGCCTATGAGACTCAGCAGGCTGAGCCGATACCCTTCTTTCGGGGCCTCCGACTAGTCATGAGCCATGGCCCATATATTAAGCTTATTGCTGGCTTCCTCTTCACCTCCCTGGCTTTCATGGTGAGTGGGGGTCTGACATGTTCAGCCTAGAGGGGGGAGGAGGTGAGCAGAGGACTCAGATGTGACAAGCCTGAGAGATGGTGGAGTGAGGGGTGGGGGTAAGCAGAGACCCCTGGAGCATAGGGAATGTCTTGGGGAGGCCCAGCCCCAATATCACATATTTCTTTGTGCTTCCCCCCTCCCTTGTCCTGTCTCCCAGCTGGTGGAGGGGAACTTCGCCTTGTTTTGCACCTACACCTTGGGCTTCCGAAACGAATTCCAGAATCTGCTCCTGGCCATCATGGTGAGTGTGGGGCCCCGAGGCTGGGTAGGCAGCCTGGGCTGAAGTGGCATAGATTGCGAGATGGTTCTTAGGAGAGTTAGAGGGTATTTCTGAGACTGACCCAAGGTCATAAAGGGGTGAGGGAGGTTTCTCAAAATAATTTGGTTGGATCTGACCTATCATTGCTTAGATAGGAATGTGAAAAGTTTGGGTGCGTGTATGGAATCCATTATGTTGTACCCTTAAACTACTAATACAATGTTGCATGTCAATTATATCTCAATAACATGGGATGGGAGGAGGGAAGAAAGAGTTTGGAGTTAAATGGAACAACATTGGCCATCTTTTTTGTGTAGTAGAAAACTCCTTGCTTTGAGTTAAGTGTCCAAGCAAGAGCAAAGAGGTAGAGGCCAGGAACTTTGGAACTTTGGCTCAGTGTGCTCAGAAAAGGCAGGAGATGAGGTTGGAACCTATTCTCAGCCCCCTTTGGGAGCCATCAAAGGTGCCTGTCAACTTCCTCACTGCTCAGATGAGGTCATCTGGCTGATGTCAGGCAGGGCTGGGAGTACCTTTGGGGTCCTGGGAAAGGCAGGAGGGGTTCCACAGCTCTAACTCACTTCCCTCACCCCTTTTACATCTACAGCTCTCGGCCACATTCACCATTCCCTTCTGGCAGTGGTTTCTAACCCAGTTTGGCAAGAAGACGGCTGTATATATTGGGATCTCAGTGAGTGGGACTAAAGGGGGAAATGCCTGCGCTGGTGGTTGCTGGTGGGAGCCTCCCAGCTGACTCATCTTCCTGTACCCCCTTCCCTAGTCAGCAGTACCATTTCTCATCCTGGTGGCCCTCATAGAGAGTAACCTGATTGTCACGTATGTGGTAGCTGTGGCAGCTGGCATCAGTGTAGCAGCTGCCTTCTTACTACCCTGGTAAGTATACAGACCCATCTGGGTATGTTTCCCAGTTCCCCACCCCCACTTCTAAAGTTCCTTTGGGAGAATTCTGTGAGGGCTTCTCTTCTCGAAGGCCATTCTGTGAGTCCAGGTTGCAGGTGTGGGGCAGGTCTTCCCATAGAGTTATACAGGTTGTAAACTGTACAAGAACACCTAATCAGCCCTGGCTGGTGTTGCTAGGTGGTTTAGAACATTGGCCTGCCCACCAAAGGGTCCGGGGTTCGATTTCAGGTCAAGGGCACATACCTGGGTTGCAGGTTCAATTCCAACCCTGGTCAGGGCATGTGTGGGAGGCAACCAATCGATGTGTCTCTCACACATTGATGTTTGTCTCCCCGCTTCTCCCCCTCCGCACCTCCCTCCAACCCCCCACCCATCTCAAAAAAAAAAATCAATGGAAAAATTATCCTCGGGTGAGGATTTAGAAAAAAACACACCAAAAAACCCACATCTAATCAGACTGAGAAATGGGGGCTTAAGTCTAGTCTGCATGCTATTAGTCCAGTGGAGCACCTGGTGGGGCTAGTTCACCATAGGAAGGAAGGGGCCTTAATCACATCAAGTTGCCATCTCCTCATTGAGCTGTGTCCATGGGGCTGCAAACTCCCAGAGAGCCACCTCTTCTCATTGACACAGAGAGGTACCGAATGGGCTAGTAGGGGCCTGGGGTTGCTAGGTGGGTGGGTCCTCATGGCTGTCACTACTCTGTACAGGTCCATGCTGCCCGATGTCATTGACGACTTCCACTTGAAGCACCCCCATTCCCATGGAACTGAGCCCATCTTCTTCTCCTTCTATGTCTTCTTCACCAAGTTCGCCTCCGGAGTCTCACTGGGCGTCTCTACCCTCAGTCTTGAGTGAGTAGGGTGGGGGCCTGGGACAGTGCTGGACAGGTACAGGCCCCAGGCATCCCATCCTTACCGCTCGCCTTCCCACTGGGTCCCACAGCTTTGCCGGGTACCAGACCCGTGGCTGCTCCCAGCCAGCGCCCGTCAGGTTTACATTGAAGATGCTGGTGACAATGGCTCCCATAGTCCTCATCCTACTAGGCCTGCTGCTCTTTGAGCTGTACCCCATTGATGAGGAGAAGCGGCGGCAGAACAAGAAGGCCCTCCAGGCTCTGAGGTGAGTGAGGGAGGGGACAGGGAGGTGGAGGAGAGGCACCATCCAGACAAAGTCCTCAGCTTATGCATTCTGTGGCCATTCCAGACTTCCTCCCACACACCTTCCCTTGACAGCTCTTCCTCCACCCCTTCCCTCTGCCAATTTATAATAGTTCCAGCTGATATTTCGCTTTTTTAATATATTTCTTATTGATTTCAGAGAGGAAGGGAGAGGGAGAGAGAGATAGAAACATTAATGATGAGAGAGACTCATTGATCGGCTGCCTCCTGCATGCCCCCCACTGGGGATCAAGCCCGCAACCTGGGCATATGCCCTTGACTGGAATCGAACCCGGGACCCTTCAGTCCGCAGGCCGACGCTCTGTCCATTGAGCCAAACCAGCCAGGGCTCAGCTGATATTTCTTAAACATATAGTTGCATGCCAAGTGGTTTTACACTTATTTATTCATTCAACAAATGCTTATTGGAAGCCCACTATTTGGTAGGCATTGCTCTAGTGAATGAAACAAAAATCCCTGCCCTCGCCCAGCCTACGTGGCTCAATGGTTGAGCGTTGACCTATGAACCAGAGGTCACGGTTTGATTCCTGGTCAGGGCATGCCCAGGTTGTGGGTTCAATCTCCAGTGTAGGGCATGCAGGAGGCAGCCAATCAATGATTCTCTCTCATCATTGATGTTTCTATCTCTCTCTCCCTCTCTGAAATCAATTAAAAAAAAATGTATATATTTTTAAATCCCTGCCCTCAAGGAGTTTGTTTTAGAGAATGTGCATTCATGACCTTCTGTAGTCCTCCGACAACCCTAGGTGTCACAGAGCACTATGATTCCCACTCTGCAGATGAAGAAACTCAGGCTTAACCAGGAAGAGTGACTGGCCCAGCTGATAAAGGGTAGAGCCGGGTTTGAGGCCTGGAGTTCTGACTCCACACCATGTACTCTTCATGGCACTCCTGGCATGCAGGACCTCAGGTGTGGCCTGAGCCCTGCCTTTTGGGAGACCAGAGGGCAGGGTGGAGTGAGTCATGCCAGCTCATCAGCCAGCCTAGGTCAGAGCATACTCTTTGGGCTTGTAATGTCTTGTGGGTAGCAAGAACAGTGATTAAACCAACCAGCAGTTTCTGGGCTAAAAGGGAGAGTATTTTATTTTTATTTATTTATTTACTAGTAGCCCTGCACACCAGTAGCTCTCTGCGGGGCCTGGCCACTCCTCACCTGCTGCCCAGAGGCTCTCTGCGGCCCAGAGGCCCATCCGCGGCCTGGAAATGCAAATGACTTCCCTCCCTGTTCTCAGGAACTCCAATAAAGGGCTTCCTTCCACTTTCTTGGCCGGCTTTCACCCCTCTGCCTCCGCCACCAGCCCCTCCTGTCACACTATCCTCCACCCCCTCCGCCCTCTGGCCGCCCAGACTTGACCTTGCCTGGGAGTTGGGGGCCACTTGACTCTGCTCAGCTCACCGGTTCCTTCTCTTCTTACGCAAGCGTTCCATGCCCCGGCCTGGCCAGAGGCCCATCCACGGCTGGGCGCGGAATGCTTGCCTCATCACCACAGCGATGAAGCAAGCATTCCTCCAGGCCACTCACGCTGCCCGCTCTTAGCGGCTGCCCTCCCGGGACTGGGGGACTCCAGCGAGCTGAGAGGACTGGGTGCCGCCATCTTGTGGCTATGGGCACCGCCATATTTGTGACAGTTAATTTGCATATTACCCTTTTATTAGATAGGATTTTAAAATCCTCACCCAAGAACATGATTAGAGAGAGAAAGGGGGTGGGGGCAAAAAAAGAGGGAGGGGCAGAAAAAGAGGGAGGGGGAGAAAGAGCGACATGAAAGAGAAACATCGATCAGTTGCCTTCCATAAGTGCCCTGACCATGGAGCCTACAATCCAGGAACCCAGGTATGTGCCCTGACCAGGAATCAAATTGGCAACCTTTTGGTGCACAGGAAGACACTCAACCAACTGAGTCACTCCGGCCAGGCAAGAGACAGGGAGTGTTTTAGACTTGCCTGACAGCTGGCTAAGATTGCAGGGCCAAAGATTATGCAAGGAAGGAGGCAGGTGGGGCAGGGAAGGGGTAAGGATGGCTCTTCTAACCTATCTTCTCTGGCTCTTGCAGGGAAGAGGCCAGCAGCTCAGGCTGCTCTGACACAGACTCTACAGAGTTGGCTAGCATCCTCTAGGATCCGCTGTGTTGCCTGAAGTCACCAAGCACAAGGCCTGAGTCACCAGGTCACACGAGGAATCTGGACCTGCTTGCCTGCTCACTCAATAGCTGGTCTCCAGGTGCCAGGAAGGGAGCCAAAGACTTGAGAGTATGTGGCCCAGGACACCTCCAATGCCCACCTTGGGCAGTCTATTCATACAGCCACCTGCCTCTCTCCCCGCCCATGGGGCCGAGCCCTGGGGCTGCTACTGTGAATATGCCAAGGACTGATGGGGTCTAGCCCAGGACACTAATGTAGAAACATTTTATACGGACACTAATTAATAACTTAATGACTATGTATATAGCTATGTGTGTGTATGTATATGTCTGTGAGCTATTAATGTTATTAATTTCCATAAAAGCTGAAAAACAGAGCACTATGTTTCTGTCTTTGTCCTTCACCACTGAGGCCTTCTGTGCCAAAATTCAGATAGTGAGAAGGGAGCACTGAGCCAAATGGACCCTGGCTAGGGAGAATGAGTCTAGAGGTGTGATAACAGCATTAGCTAACATTAACTAAACACCTATCTGTACCAGGCATAATGTGGAGTATTTTAAAAAATATATATACAGTGGGGCCTTGACTTACGAGTGTCCCGACTAACGAGTTTTTTGAGATACGAGCCGTCTCTCGGCTGATTTTTTGCTTTGTGTTGAGAGCTGTAATTTGGGTTACGAGCCAGCTTCAGATACCCCACCGCTAGATGGCGCAGCTACCGTCACAGTGAACGCCACAACATCAGCCCAGCATCACGTGTCTCACTCATTCACTTTATGATTTGACATACGAGTAATTTGAGTTACGAGCTCTGTCACGGAACGAATTAAACTCATAAGTCAAGGCCCCACTGTATATATATTTTTAGAGGCCCAGTGCACAAATTTGTGCACCAGTGGGGTCTCTCAGCCTGGCCTGTGGGATTGAGCTGAAACCCGCTCTCCGACATCCCCCGAGGGGACCTGAATTGCAAGAGGGTTCAGGCCAGGCCAAGGGAACCCACTGGTGCATGATTGGGGCCGGGGAGGGATGCTGGAAGTTGACCAGCCTGGGAGGGACCGCAGGAGGGCTCCACGGCCGGACCCCAGCAGCAAGCTAACCTACTGGTTGGAGCATCTGCCCCCCCTCCCCGGTGGTCAGTGTACATCATAGCGAGTGGTTGAGCGGCCTTAGCATATCATTAGCATATTATGCTTTGATTGGTTGACCGGAAGACTGGATGCTTAGCATATTAGGCTTTTATTATTTAGGATTTTTTTTTTTTTTAATTTCAGAGAGTAAGGGGGAGGGAAAGAGAGATAGAAGCATCAATGATGAAAGAGAATCATTGATCGGCTGCCTCCTGCATGCCCCACACTGGGCCCACAACATGCAAATGGGCCTTGACGGGGAATTGAACCATGATCTGGTTCATAGGTCGATGCTCAACCACTGAGCCACAGTGGCCGGGCATGGTATGGAGTCTTTACATTCACTTTGTGGGTGTTCTCAATCCTGGAAACCATCCTGCTATGTCAGAATTTGTCCCCATGTTATTTATTTTTTTTAAAAAACTTTATTGATTTTAGAGAGAGGAAGGGAGAGAGAGAGAAACATCAATCAGTTGCTTCCCACACATACCCTGACCAGGGATGCAACCCACCACCTTTTGGTATGCAGGATGATGCTCCAACCAACTGAGCCACACCAGCCAGAGCTGGACTTGCACCCATTTTAAAGATGAGGAGCCCTGGCAGGTGTTTCTCAGTGGTTAGAGTGTTGGCCTGCACACCAAGGGGCTGCAGGATTGATTCTATGCCCCTGTTGGGGTGTGTGTAGGAGGCAATTTATCCATGTGTCTCTCTTACTTCGATGTTTCTCTCTCCCCTTCCACTTACTAAAAGAAAAAAAAAATCAAAGGGGGTGGAGGGAAAGATGAGGAAACTGAGCTCCAGTGTTGAGAGGAACTTGGCTAACATCACATAGCCAAGAGGACCTAACGAATTCCATCTTAGGTCTGTGAGACTCCAATACGTTCACCACCAACCTCTGCTCCCCTTTGTCTGATAATGACTGATCTACTGTCAGATAGTAGCTCTGCCCAGACCCACACTGGGTGTTTTGCATCCTGTGTAGGCCTGAGTATGTGGGCCTGGCTGTGCTAGGGCAGGTTCTGTGTGATGGTCCATGTGGTGTCCTAGAGACCTGTGATTCTTCACAATTGTTGGAAAGTGAGAATGTACCTGACTGGGTATATGTGTGTCCGTTGAAGAGGGGTCTCACTGGTGTGCAGGTGAAAACCACCTCTGGCAGGGAGCACAGTGGCAGGAGGTGGGGAGATTGAAAGCCTAGTTTGTAGCATTTGCCTATTTCCACTTGTAAATACTCCCACTATAACCAGTTTCTAGTTCTACATTCTTGCAAAATTCCTGAAAATTTAACAGTTGGCTCTTGCAAATAGATAGGAGCCTGCCCTGGCACATCACTGGATTTTATACACTTTTAAAAAAAATATATTTTATTGATTTTTTACAGAGGAAGGGAGAGAGAGTTAGAAACATCGATGAGAGAGAAACATCGATCAGCTGCCTCCTGCACACCCCCTACTGAGAATGTGCCCGCAACCAAGGTACATGCCCTTGACCGGAATCGAACCTGGGACCCTTCAGTCTGCAGGCCGGAGCTCTATCCACTGAGCCAAAATGGTTAGGGCAAGGATTCTATACACTTAATCCAAGCTCCAAAAATCAGAAAAAGTAAAGCTGTTAGGATCAGGAGCTACCAGTCCAACCTCTTTATTTTATAGATTGATAACTGAGGCCCAGAGAAGCACTTATGAGTACTTAAACTTGGGTGTGGGGCTCCATTCTTTTGCTAATGAAGTTCCGCCATGCCACTTATCCTATGTAATAAAGAGGCAATATGCAAATTAACCCTCATGCCCTCACAAGATGGCACCTATGACCAGGCCAGTAGGGGCGTTAGTGAGGGATGACCAAATGACTGAACAAGCAGGCTGCGTGGGGCGACCAGGCCAGCAGAGGGGGTAGTAGGGGGCAACCAGGCCGGCAGTGGGGGACAGTTAGGGGTGACCAGGACGGCACGCAGAGGCAGTGAGGGGCGATCAGGCTGGTGGGGGTGTGGGGAAGCAGTTAGGGGTAATGAGGCAGGCAAGCAGGTGAGCGATTAGGAGCCAGCAGTCCAGGATTGTGAGAGGAATGTCTGCCGGTTTAGGCCCTAAACTGGCAGTCGGACATCCCCCAAGGGGTCCAGGATTGAAGAGGGTGCAGGCTGGGCTGAGGGGACCCCCCACCCCATGAACGAATTTTGCGCACCAGGCCTCTAGTAAATTTATAAAGTGATACTAACAGGCACTTAATAAAGATCAGTTCAATTAGTGAATGATAACCACCAAGTCCTGTTGTTTTTAAATTTCTATGCTTTTATTTAAATGTAAATTTTTATTGTTAATACTATTGCATATGTTCCCCATCCACGCCCCCCCCCCCTTTGCCCACCTTCACCCAGCCCCTGCCCCCACCAACCCCTTGGCCCTCACTACACTATTGTCTGTATCCATGGGCTATGCATATATGTTCTTTAATCCTTTCACAAGTCCTGTTTTTTTTAAATTGTTTTTAATTTCCTAAAGCACTCACACTTGCTTCTTTCCCATGCCTACAATTATTAGATGTTATCTTCTCTTCTTTCCCATCCCTACAATTATTTATCAGAACACTAAAACCAGCATTCTCACTGATCTGTCTTTGATTTGATCTCATATTCCTCCTACAAACTACCCAAGATAACCAAGCAGCTCTCCTATTTAGAAACTCTCCTATGAGTCCCTGTTGCCTTTAGGAGGAAGTTTGAGAACCCCTCCAGCCTCACCAGCCCCAGATCTAGATATAAGGCCTTTTTGCAGGCCACTGACCAGCCCTGGAATATACCTCTGGCCTCTGGTCCCCCTGGCAGACATTGGCCCAATGTGTCTTGGTTTCAGTATGCTTCTCTAAAGTCATTTCTGACCCCCTACCCTTAGGGGCAGCTTTGAAATTTCCATGCTCACTTCATTGTGGTCTCCCACATGAGTCCAGGGCCAGGCATAGTGGGTTGGGGCTTGTGGAGCTAAATAAACACGAGCTATGACAAGAGGGCTTTGTGAGCCAGGCCCAATTCCTAGTGATCCACTATGATGCTTCTCTCTTGGCTTCCCCCAACTGTACACTTGGGATTTGGAAATGAAAACCCTTGCCTCTCTCCAGTTTCATGCTCACAGAAAATTGTTCTTTTTTTTCAAATTTGTTTTCCTTTTCAAAGACCCCTGATGGAGGGTTTGGGGGTGGTATAGGTGGGCGAGTGGGAAAGCAGTCTGAGGTCCCAGAACCCCCTTGGGTCACTGGCTACTCCAGGTCCCTTTGGACAGCTCATATCTACCCATCCTTGGAGAGAAGTGCCATCCTGACTTTCTTTCCACTTGGATCCAGCATTACCAAAAAACCCCCTGCTTCTCCCCTTTTGACTCTGTCCTCAGCAAATCCACACCCCCCGCCCCCCTTCCAAATCCCTTGCCAAGGACCAGATGTAGCTTTGGCTCCACCTGCTGGAAGAAAGGAGCAACATCTTTCAATATTGCAAAGAAGGAATTCCAGGTCTGTCATTGACTGGCTTTGTGATCTTGATTAACCATTTATTGAACAAATATTTATAAAGGACCTTCTATGTGTCATGCACCAGCTACACCCTGAAGATAGAGTGGTGAACAAATTAGGGCTTACATTCTCAGTGGAGATCAATGACAATGAAGGGACATATAAAGAAGTTCAGATTGTAATAAGCACCAGGAAAGAAAGAAGCAAGGTCATAAAGGGAACTTGTGTGGGGGTTATTTTAAATTGATGAAAGAATGTTCTGAAAAAGTGATGTTTGTCTTAAAGCATGAAGGAGAATTAGCATACATCGAAGAGTTTCTAGGAAAGCAATGCAGGTGGAGGAGACAGCTAGTGCAAAGACCCTGAAGTAGAAAAGAGCTTGGTGACTTCAAGTACTTGAAGAAAACAGTGTGGCCAGAGTGGAGTGAACAAGAGGGCAGATGGTATGAGATGAGTCTAGAGAGGTATACAAGAATTAGACCATCCAGGGCCTTGTAGCCCACAGTGAGAGTTTTGCTGTTTTTTAAAATATGTTTTTATTGAGAGGAAGGGAGAAGGAGAGAGAGATACAAATATCAATGATAAGAGAGAATCATTGATTGGCTGCCTCCTGTATGCCCCCTACTGGGGGTCAAGCCCACAACCCAGGCATATGCCCTTGGCCTGAATCGAACCAACACCCTTCAGTCCCCAGGCCAACACCCTATCCACTGAGCCAAACCAGCTAGGGCAAGAGTTTTAATTT